GCTTTTAAAATATTTGATTTATTAATAAAATTAATTCTTTTTTCGCTTGTGCTTTGTTGATACCTAAAAAGGCAAATAATTGTCATACACGTGATCAAAGTGTCTTACCTGGGGGTGGGTAAGCACTACTATTAAAATGATATTAGCTAATATATGTCAGCACCCTAAGTATATTATGACTTTTTAAAAATAATTTGTACAATTGAAGTATTAGGAAAAATTTCCTGCAAATTCCTTATCTTTATTATCTTTGAAAAATGTTTGTTATATAGTAAGGTAAGTTACAAATAAGTTAATACTATTTGTTATCAATCAATAATCATTCATTATTATCATAACAAATGTATTCAAAATAAATACAAGTATCCAAAATAAATTATATATATTCAAATATCCTTGAATAAATTGATTTCGAATATTTGTAAAAAAATTGATTTTTGGTTAGGAACACTAATTTGGTGGAATGGAAATGGGAATTAAAATCTGTGTTTCCTTTTCCTTCTCTGTCACATAATTCACTGCCCTCACTACAAAAAACTTCTACAGTTCATTTTTTCTATAACGGACCATTTGGATTGGAAAAAACTTTCATTATAGGAAGAATCCATTATGGATGGTAACTATTTATTTATATGTGAGACATATAAATTGGGCCTAAATTCTCAGTCCATTATAAGCAAGATCTATTATATAAAGATCCATGAGCTGTATTGGAAAACAATAGAGAATCAATAAAGAAAAGAATAAATACACACACACACACACACACACACACACACACACACACATACAATAAGAACTACTACACAACAAAATTATAAACCAAAGAAAATAAAAAGATTTTCAGAAATCTTTTTTATAATTATGGTAAAAATCATGTATTTTTCCGCAAAAATATCCGCAAATTTGCGCAGCATCGTGAAAATATCCAATTTTATTGGTGGGTTGGGTGCGTGTTATCCTTATTTAGAAATTGATTTGGCGATTGCGGATATTTTTGCGGAAAAATACATGATTATCATTAGGTGAAAACTCTTACTATAATTACTATGTAATAAAGTACACCTATGGTTTGAGACAACATATCCTATAATGTTGAAAACCAACAAATGTATCATTTAATCACTACTTGATAAATTAAATTATTATTACATAGTTCTTATATAATAAATGAAAGATATTGAATATTAGATATTGGTATATTAAATATTAAATAAATTATAAATATTATAAATTATAAATATTAAATTGTATTAAATAAATTATAAATATTATAAATTATAAATATTAAATTGTATTAAATAAATTATAAATGTTATAAATTATAAATATTAAATTGTAATAAATTATAAATATTATAAATTATAAATATTAAAGAATGCATCATTGATCATGAATGCATGATAGGATGCAATGCTTCTCATCTAGAGCTAATTTTGATGCTCAGAACTAATGTTGTTTGACGAAATGTTGCCATAGTTATAAAACTGTTACGTCAAATTACTGCCATTAAGTCAAAATTGCTAAAAAAAAACTTATAAATATATATTCCAAGGTCTTTTTTTAAGTATCCCAATCTCTTCTTTGTTTCATTAGTTGTTCCCAAGGAACCAAGTTTTTCTTTTGCTGAATACAAAAGTTCAATTTCCACACACACATTTGCTATTAAACTCGAACATTTTCTATATTAATAACGTGATACATAATCGGAGTAGATAAAAACATCGGCTAGGAATTCGGTACTTTATGTTCCAGGGTTGACTAATTTTAGTGTATGAATTTTATGTCAAAGCTTTTATAATTATTATCAAATTGCTATGTAAATAATCATGAATTAGTTTGCAATAATAGACCCATCTTTATCTTTATCCTTATTATAGTGATCAATGAAAATTTCATTAAAGATAAATTCTGGTCTTTGGTTGAAAAAGTTCCTCGCAGAGAAAAAAAATAGATAATTAACATTCCAATAAAATAAAACTCTGATAATCATTATTCAATAAACTTTTAAAAATGAAAACAAAAATAAAAGCATTGTCTTTATTTTCTTTGTTTAAAGCACTTTGATAAAAGCAGCAAGTGTAGTTGGTGCCTTGGTAAAAGGTAACA